CCAAATTACGTTGGTTTTGTGCCACGTACGGTAGGTTCGCGTCGTGTCGACCAGCGGCGACCCCAGCGTGGGCGTTCAAGGTTGACCGCCGCGGGCGACGCAAAATCGGTCGATGTTGAAAGATCTGACGTTTCGGAAATGGGCGATCGTTCAAGGTTCAACTATCTCCGCGATATCAGGAACAAATGCGGGTGGTCGACACGACGCGAACCTGCCGTATCATTTCCCGATTGTCCCATCAGCGTCTAATTTCCACACGTGGGACTGGACAAGAGTATGAGGATTCCCTTGGTCGGGCTCCAACAGGGAGGAAAGCGAGGGTGGGTGGGTGAGGGGCGAGGCGGGGCCAAGACTCTTACCTCTGTCCGTCCTCCTTTGTTCCGTGCTCGATCCTCCGAATCACCGAACGCGTTCCACTACTCGCAACGTGCCTGCTCGCAAACATCCGATAAACACATGTCTGCTTCGAAGAAATGTATCATAGATCCCTCGCGGCGGACCCACGCCATTTGCGAGTGGTTACTTTGCGAGTAGTGGAACGCGCTCGTCTACCGAAGTCCGCTCAGGCACACGCGCTGTGACATGCGGCGCGTCAGGGCACTCGCGTGTCGCCCGCGTTGCATTGCGAACTGGCCCCGCGGTCCGCGGTTTTGGCCTTCCGAGTCTGTCCGTAGTCGGATTCGCGTCCAGTAGCGGATGTTATGCAATCGGGTGGTTTTGGCGGGCCATGATCAGCTTCTGGGCCTCCTAGATGGGGTCCGAGTAGATAGGGGTCGGAGGATCACGCCGCATCGCCGATGCATCGACGATGCGGTTCGATGTGGAGCCCGTGTTTCCCGACGCCGACGTCGCCGCTGCATCGCCGACGTCGCCGATGCATCGCCGATGCATCGCCGATACATAGGCGATGCATTGGCGATGCGGCGCGAACCTTCGACCCCCATCTACTCGGATCCCATCTAGGAGGCCTCTTCAGATGGCAAGGTGCCCCTCGGGGTTGAAGTCAGAAGCGGTAAACGAGAGTGCACGCCTTCAGCAAGCAGGCGTATTCTTCCTCAGTCACGCGTTTGGGCTTTCCATCAGGAGACGCAGCGCGCCAGGGACGAGGCCGCGAAGCAGGAGCGGGCTGTCGCAGGGACTCTCGTGAGCTGGTTAGCGGGCAGGTAGAGACGACCACAGACGAGGGCGAGGAAGGACTGGGAGGAGGGTAAATGGGAGGGATAGGGGGATGGCAAGGGTGTCCACAGTTCGGTCGGTTCGGCGGCGTCGCAGTCGGCTTCGTCCCGTCGGTTCAGATCGGCTGGTTGCTGTGTCGTTGCTGTGTCGTTGCTGTGTCGTTGCGCCCTTCTCAGCTGCGTTCGCTTGATTCGGTTTCGGTCAGCTTCGGTTTCGTTGTCGGTTCGGTTGGTTTTTTGCTGTACTGTCTTTTTCGAGACGGTCCTGGGGGATTGGGAGTAGCGAGCCGAAGAGGGCTCCTCAGAGGCCCCCCAGGAGACAAGCAAACATGATTCGTTTCGGCATTTGCATGTTTTCTGTGATGTTGCCTTGCCAAGTTACCCGAAGAGACCCCCACACGGCTCCACAACGATCCCGACATCAAGACTGCCCCTCCAACATGCGTCCACGAGGTTCTAAGACGGCCAAGAAATCGCTGGTGGATGCCAGGGTGCTGCTCCTTTATGCGCCCGAGAAGGACTGCAGTGCATGCGAGGGGTCACATGGTGTGGTGGCGTTCGCACGTAGTGCGCTTGTGAACTCGTGGCGCCGTCGTTTGCTGCCCTGTATCCAAAGACAAGTGTGCGTTGGTTCACCCCTCCTCCGCCCTCCACGCGAGATGTCCAAGCGAGTCAAGTCTGACTCAATTTAGGTTTTGGGGCCCTTTTTGGTCTTCCCATCTCTTCGGTCGGTCGAGGAATGACTCCAACAATGCCTCGGATAAGCTGACGAACGTCTAAGGTGTATCCAGGCGGCCCCAGTGTAATACCAACATGGATTCCTGCGGCCTCTTGTGTGTGGGGCTCCGGTTTGCGGAATTCTTCCGCTTCTGAGCGCCTACCTCCTTTTCCCTCAGCGCGGCAGCCCTCCCCTTCCTCTTACCTCTTGCACGCCGGACAATTTGCCCATCGGTGATCCCGATTAGCCCGACGCTGGTGCGGATCGCCTCCGCCTCGCCGCCGACGAAACAAAGTGCGGGGCGCCGGGCCCCAGGGACGTGCCTGGAGCCGTCTGGGCGTGCCGCGGAACGCGCCAGAACTTCCAAAAGCTTTTTTTCAGATCGCCCACGTGTCTGCCAAGATGGGTGAGGAGGCCCCTCAGAGGTTCCACAATGCCCGCAAAATGCCCTTACGACGGCCGCACGAGAGCTGCAAGAAGGCCCCCAGCCCATCACAGCTGGTTCGGTCGCATTGCTTAGCATTGGGTTTGCATCGGTCTACCCTTGTCTGTAGCAGTTTCTGCTCGGTGCGCGTTCTCGTTACTTCCTCGACTCCTGTTCAGTTTGTGGGTGCAACGGCGCACGCAGCTGTGAGCTTGTCAAGCGCTAGAGCTTGCTAGAACTGAAGTCCGCGCGACGCAGGCACGTGGTTCTAGTGGTCTGATGTGCTCGAGCATTCATTGGTGGGCAGGGTGAGGGGGAGATGAACTGGGGAGGGTGAACGGTGGAGGAGGGTGAGGCTATGGGGAGAGCGTGGTAGAGCTGGTTCCGTTCCTCTCCGTCTTTCAGTGCATCCAGGTGCGCTGCCGCATTTACTCAGTACGGCATTATGCGGTTACACCGTGCTTGTAGCACTTGGCCACTACGCGTTTCGTTGTGCGCATCAGTGGGAACGTATGTTTGAACACGTGGATGTGAGAATACATGTAGCGCCATGCAGTTAGCCATGCGCGCGTCAACTGGATCTCCGGCACCTTCCTGTGAAGTCAGTCGCGTGGCACACTGCATCATGCATTCCACAGTGGGCACCGCGCTGCCCAGCAGCGGCATCATACATCATGTATCTCAACCTTCACCTTTAGCATGGTGCAGCACAAGAGCACGTCATCGGGCTGTTCTGCCGCCATTTGCCTTACTCAAGCCAAGTGGCGCACGGCGCGTGTGAAGTTCCTTCAATGAGGGTTCTGATGAAGGGGTGTGATGAACGAGCGGAGCTGAGAATGCTCGATGACGAGAGCCTTCTCTGGGCCTCATGCTCCTTGTTACGCTGGCCGCTGACCCCTGCTGGCGCGCAGTTCAATCCGATACCGTACTTCATTTCGTGGCCTCCGATATTGTATTTCCATGCGCGTGCATGGTCTGATGTGCTCGAGCATTGGCGGGCATGGTGAGTGGGAGGGGGACTGGGGGAGGGTGAACGGTGGAGGAAGATTAGGCTGTTGCGAGGGTGTGGCAGAGCTTGTTTCGTTCCTCTTTGTCTTTCCCTGTATCCGGTGCGCTGCCGCGTGTATTCAGAACGGCATTTTGGCAGTTATACCGTTCTTGTGGCCGCTAGCCAGTACGTGTTTCGTTGTGCGCATGAGTGGGAACGTATGTGTGCACATGTGGATGTGAGAATGTGACGCCTTGCAGTTAGACGCAGGGGGGTTCAAACGCAGCGAGGCTTCACACAACGAGAGCATTTAGCCATGCGCGCGTCAACGAGATCTCCGGCACCTTCCTGTGAAGTCAGTCGCGTGGCACACTGCATCATGCATTCCACAGTGGGCACCGCGCTGCCCAGCAGCGGCATCATACATCATGTATCTCAACCTTCACCTTTAGCATGGTGCAGCACAAGAGCACGTCATCGGGCTGTTCTGCCGCCATTTGCCTTACTCAAGCCAAGTGGCGCACGGCGCGTGTGAAGTTCCTTCAATGAGGGTTCTGATGAAGGGGTGTGATGAACGAGCGGAGCTGAGAATGCTCGATGACGAGAGCCTTCTCTGGGCCTCATGCTCCTTGTTACGCTGGCCGCTGACCCCTGCTGGCGCGCAGTTCAACCCGATACCGTACTTCATTTTGTGGCCTCCGATACTGTACTTCCATGCGCGTGCATGGTCTGATGTGCTCGAGCATTGGCGGGCATGGTGAGTGGGAGGGGGACTGGGGGAGGGTGAACGGTGGAGGAGGATTAGGCTGTTGCGAGGGTGTGGCAGAGCTGATTTCGTTCCTGTCTGTCTTTCCCTGTATCCGGTGCGCTGCTGTGTCTATTCACAGCGCCATTTTGTCGGTTATACCGTTCTTATGGCCGTTAGCCAGTACGCATTTCGTTGCGCGCATCAGTACACATATAACGGCGCACCGGGGCCCGGGCCCCCGGGGACGCGACCTCTACCTCAAGAGTGTGTGTGTGTGTGTATATGTGCAGGCCCTTGGGGGGCCCCAGAGGCCCACAAAACGCCAACGAAAGCGCCAAGAGAGCTCGAAGACGCTCCAAAAGGGACCCGCGACGCCCACAGGCCGCTCCAAGACGCACAGGCCGCTCCGAGACGCACAAGATGGGCCTCAAGACAACCCAAGAGGCCTCCCAGACGCCCCAAGAAGCTCCCAGAGGTCCCCCAGGAGGGCCCGAAGAGGCAAAATTCGCTCCATTCCCTTCGAGGGAAACGTCTATTTTTCGCGTATGTACCTCTTTGGCTTTCACAGCGTCCAAGACGGCCCAAGAGGCCCCCAAGACTGCCCCACAGGCTCCCAAAAGGGCTCCAAGACGACCCAAGAGGGTCCCAAGACGGCCCGAGAGGCCCCCAAGACCGCCCAAGAGAGCCCCAGGACGAGCCCCAGAGGTGGAACATCAGATTCAAATTCCGAGCTTTCGGCCCCAGAGGCTCCCAGGAGGCCCCAAGAGGTCCCCAGGAGGCCCCAAGAGGCCCCCAAGAGGCCCCAGGAGGCCCCCAAGAGATTTCACCATAGCCATTTTGGCTCAAGTGTGTCCCAAAGCGCCCGCGTGGTAACCGCTTTTGGATCTAACCAAACTGGACATTAACGCTCTCTTGCTGAGACCGTATCACCGCATTCCACGGCGCCCATGGTAGTGAACGTTCCGCGCGTAGTCTTTCTCTGCTGTGGTATGTTCGCGATTGCTCACAGTCTGGCCAGTGAGGCAGCGACGACTACAGGGGTTGTGCCTGTAACGCCAGAGCGGCAGATGAGCGATGAATCTGGAGGTGCGACCTTTCTGAACAATTGGTACTGTAGCGGCACAGTGATCAATTTCGGGTATCACGCCACCGCAGCGTCTTGCGAGGCTCAGATATTTGACAACACCTCATGCGGCTCCGACTTCATGCAGCCCACTTACCCGTCCTGGGGTTGGGGGTGCAGATGCTGTGCTCCTGCCGCGGGCAATGACCACTACAACACCAATTGGTAGAGGTACCAGAAAGCCGATTACCTCCTCGTGGGCAGCTATGGGTGCGCTTCGCATGCTAAAAATATCGGCTACACGAGCAGCGCGGACGAGTGCTACGCCGCAACCGCTGGTGACTCAGCATGCGGTCTTGGCTTCATGTTCAGCCCGACTTGTCCAAGTTGGGGGTGCAGATGCTGTGCCAATTACAATCCAGGAGGGGCGAACAGCAATTGGAGGTTGTACAGATTGCCTCCGGCCCCGACCCCTTCGCCAACATAGTACCCCGCACCTCACCCAACGCCCAATCCCACGCCCTACCCGACGCCCTACCCGACGCCCTTCCCGACGCCCTACCCGACGCATTACCCGACGCCCTACCCGACGCCTTACCCGACGCCCTTCCCGACCCCCTACCCGACGGCCTTCCCGATGGCCTTCCCGACGCCCTTCCCGACGGCCATCCCGACGCCCTACCCGACGCCCTACCCGACGCCCTACCCGACGGCCTTCCCGACCCCCTACCCGACGCCCTCCCCGACGGCCTTCCCGACGCCCGTCCCGACGCCCTTCCCGACGCCTTTCCCGACGGCCTTTCTGACGGCCTTCCCGACGCCTTTCCCGACGGCCAGCCCGACGCCTCCTCCGGGCTGGCTGACGCCGCATCCGACGTTTCCTCCCGGGGCTCCCACGGCGGGCGGAGCTGGCGGTGTGGCTGCTACTGGCGACCCCCACTTGCAGAATGTCCAGGGTGAGCGGTTCGATCTGATGAGGCCAGGCAAGCACGTTCTCATTAACATCCCCAAGGGGGTTCGCGCTGACGAGGCATTGCTCTGCGCGCAGGCCGATGCGCGCCGAATGGGTAGCTCCTGCGCGGGCCTCTGTTTCGTCGATGTTAATGTTACGGGGTCGTGGGCAGAGGCGAAGCAAGCTGGAGGGTGCCGTCACGCCGTGTCGAAACGGGCAGTCGAGACTCCAGATTGGGTTGCTTTTGGGAAGGTTGAGCTGAAGGTCGTTGAAGGACGCGCGCAAAGTGGCATCGGCTACTTGAATGTGTGCGTGAAGCATTTGGGGCGAGCAGGGTTTGCAGTCGGGGGCTTGCTGGGAGAGGACGACCACGCAGAGACAGCGGTTCCTCAGCGGGTTGTATCCACCATGTGGCTCTTCTGGAAGTGAGCGGCAGGGGTCCTTCCGCGTCGTCGGTTGCCATGGCAGACTTCGCGTGATGCATGGCGCGGTTGCCGTGGCAGATTAACGCAGATGCGTTAGGGGCGGCATGGTCGATCCAATATGACAAGTACGCTCCTTCGGGCGACGCATGCGGCAGTGTTTTCCAGTTTGCTTAGGAGCACGCTGCTGGCTGGTGATCGTGGAGAGTTTCTGTTCCTGGGCCGACCTTGTGCTCGACGCGTGAAAAATTATCCCAGTGCGACCCTGCCTAGGAGTTGGAGCCTCTAGGAAAGCAACATTAGTGGGAGCGGTAAACGCCGTCCTCCTCCTTCTCCTCATCGTCGTAGTTGTAGCAGTAGCGGTAGTAGTAGTAGTAGTAGTAGTAGTAGTCGTAGTCGTAGTCGTAGTAGTAGTAGTCGTAGTAGTCGTAGTAGTCGTAGTAGCCGTAGTAGTAGTAGTAGTAGTAGTAGTAGTAGTAGTAGTAGTCGTAGTCGTAGTCGTAGTCGTAGTAGTAGTAGTAGTAGTAGTAGTAGTAGTAGTAGTAGTAGTAGTAGTAGTAGTAGTAGTAGTAGTAGTAGTAGTAGTAGTAGTAGTAGTAGTAGGAGTAGGTAGTAGGAGTAGGAGTAGGAGTAGTAGTAGTAGTAGTAGTAGTAGTAGTAGTAGTAGTAGCAGTAGCAGTAGTAGTAGTAGTAGTAGTAGTAGTAGTAGTGTGTGGTGGTGGTGGTGGTGGTGGTGGTGGTGGTGGTGGTGTGGTGGTGGTGGTAGTAGTAGTAGTAGTAGTAGTAGTAGTAGCAGTAGTAGCAGTAGTAGTAGTAGTCGTCGTCGTCGTCGTCGTCGTCGTCGTCGTCGTCGTCGTCGTCGTCGTCGTCGTCGTCGTCGTCGTCGTCGTCGTCGTCGTCGTCGTCGTCGTCGTAGTCGTAGTAGTTAGTAGTAGTAGTAGTAGTAGTAGTAGTAGTAGTAGTAGTAGTAGTAGTAGTAGTAGTAGTAGTAGTAGTAGTAGTAGTAGTAGCGCCAGAACCGCCGACGCCACGCCGTAAGTGAAGCAGCAGCAGAAGCAGGCAGCAAGTCGCCGAGACAGCAGCAAAAGCAAGCAGGCACGGAGATGAGGGCGGGGCACTGGGGAGTTCTTTACATCTACATCTATATCAACACCTACATCTACATCGACACCTACATCTACATCTATACCTACAGTTACATATACACCCACATTTACATCTACATCTACACCTGCATATGCATCTACATCTACAGCACCAGCGAGACTCACATCTGCATGTACATCTACACCGACATCTACAGCTACATCTACATCTACACCTACATCCACATCTACACCTACACCTACATCTACATTTACATCTACATCTATAACAACAGCAATAGTGGATGCTGTGCTGCGCTATGCTATGCTATGCTATGCTATGCTATGCTATGCTATGCTATGATCTGCTATGCTATGCTATTCTATGCTATGCTATGCTATGCTATGCGATGCTATGCTGCGCAATGCTGCGCAATGCGATGCTGGGCTAGGCTAGGCTATGCTATGCTATGCTATGCTATGCTATGCAATGCTGCGCTATGCTATGCTGCGCTGCTGCGCTGTGCCATGCTAATGCTATGCTATGCTATGCTATGCTTTTGCTTTGCCTTCGCTTTTGCCTTCACTTTTGCCTTTGCTTTTGCTTTTGCTTGGCACCCAGGGGGCGCAACTGGGGGAACCGCGCGTTTGCTTTTACCTTTGCTGTTGCTTTTGCCTGGCTCCCAGGGGACTGGGGGGGCCGCCCGGGGCGGTTTGCACTGCCCGGCCCCTTCAAGCCAAGCGAGTAAGAACCCCTCTAGGCAAAGCCTAGGTAGGGAAAAAAGAGAGGCCCCCAAGAGATCCCCAGGAGGCTCCCAAGAGGCCTCCAGGAGGCCCCCGGGAGGATCCCAAGTGTGTGTGTGTGTGTGTGTGTGTTTGAAGTCCGTTCATATTCCCATTATGTCGTTACATACCGCTATTGTATCGGCTCAGGTATTGGCATAAACATGATTCTGCGCTGACCTCCGTGCAGCGCCCACGACAAGGAGTAGCTGACCTCTTCCTGTTTTTGCCTCTACCTGCGGGCACCTGTATAGGATCGAGCCCTCGGTCGTATCCCTATTCGCACAGGTCATCAGCCTTTTTCTTTTACGCTCTTCGCTGTTGCGACCCGCGTCCTCGTTGACCCCGCCGCGTGGCGGTGCCCCCCTCGGGGCGCAGTGCTTCTATGCGCGCGGCGTCCTCGACGGCGCGCGGTCGCGACGGCGCTGTGGAGAGGGCGAGAGAATCAGTGATGCTCGTTTTCCCCTCTTTCGGGAGAAGGTAGCACCGCTTCGCCAGCAGCTGCACTGGGAGGATTTCTACCCGACTCGCCGCTGCCGCCGCTTCCCGCGCGCGCTCACGCGCCGAGGACCTCGGGGCCGCGGCTGGATTCGCTTCCCGCGGCGTCTGATATATTCGTTAGATCGCATCATGCGCCGGTGGGAACACCTGCAGTTGTCTTCGGAGTCACGGTTGGATTCGCTACACCTCCTTCGTCTCTTCCAACCTTCGCTGATACACGTTGTGTCGGTGGGCTGCAGTGGCGGCGCTGCGGCTTTGTCTCCAGACAACGCTTCCGCGCGACACCGCCGCTGGGCTAAGGCCACTTCTCCCATTAACGTAATTGAGGACAGAGTCAAGCCGCAGCCGCAGCTCTTCATGCTACCGCTGTCTGGCATCAGCTGCGTCAGAGCTGCCGGTGTTACCGCCGGCCTCAGGTAACGACGGTCAGTTACAGCCGATGGGAGTATCATTCGCGAGCCAATACCGCTTGTAGTTATGCTGCGACAAATCCCAAAGAAGGATATCGCCACGCATCCTGAGGCTGATCTTCTCAAGAGTGGCTCCGGCCAGGGGCAAACAAGGGACGCGAGCGCAGGGTTGGAGACGCCGGCAATTTGCTGCCAGTGTCTGGCGGCGTTCATGTCATCGATGCCGGTGCATGGCGTCTTGGTGGTTTTCTTTTATCCTGTGGACGTCACGAGACATTTAGAATCATTGTACATATTCACCCATTTGAACGCATGGCCGTCGGGTCCAAGGGCATGGATGACAGTGAATCTGAAGTCTTCCTTGAACAGGGGAGCCCAACCCTTAGCACTGAGCATGCGCGTGAGGTAACGACCGATAGCAGACGCTGACCGTCGTGGCGGTGGGGCATGCTCTTCAGTGGTGAAGAGGTTGTCACGATCGAAACCACCTGCATTGCGATCCGCAGGGATATAATTGGGGTGACTCTTATTGGGTTCCCATGCCTTCCAGCTGCGGTCATGAGGGATTAACAGGCGGGTAGGCAAAAACGAAACGTCGTCGTTTGCCGGTGTTGCCACCGACACAGGCAAGGAAACGTCGCCGCCAGAACCGCCACAGGCAGTCACCCACGAGGGTGTTTTGATTTCGTAGCTGTGGTAGGCGGTCAGCATCTGAAAAACATAGTAGCATGTGCGCTGCAGTGATTCGGCAATCTTGCCGACGTGACCTGCCATATCCGAGGTGCGTGGGGCTGTCGGCGGTGTCGATGGCAACTTGACAGTTTCGCGTGATTGCTGGTCGCCAGCGAGCGGCGGCATAGGATTATCTGCGTGCAAACGCACAGCACTATCGATGGACAGGCCTGCCGTTTTGCCGATCAACGCACTGCCAACCTTGTTTCGACGCATCCGCAAGACCTTCCACATGCTGCTGGCGACGCGCGTACGAACGTCCCGAGGGGGACATTTGGTGCCGTCATGGCCAGTCGCAGGTGCGTTCGTCCAGAGGAAGTCCGGGTACTGGCGCAACGTGTTGTCGACGGCCGTGTCCTTCAGGTATAACCCCAGGCCCAGGACGGTCACCCAGACAAGCGGAAATGCCATCCAGGGCGCCGCAGTGGAAGGATTGGGATGCGGCGGCTGCTGACCATCCAACAACGCAGAGGTCCCCTGCACCGCCTAAGCGGACGTGGTGACGAGACCCTGCTTGCTGGAGCGTAACCAGTACTGTCCGCCCCCGTCTGGGCGCTTCTCCATGTGGGGGACTCTTTCGAGAAGCGGAAACGAGCAAGTTGAGACTCGTGCGCGGGCCCGGTGCGGATATTGCCATCGGCGCAAGCGGGGGACAGACTTCCGAGCTGCATGCCGTGCAGATTGTTCGGGGCGGTCGCCATGCTGGGCCGAGACAGGACTGCTGTTTGACCTCTATCGCCAAAGGATTGGGAGAGAGGCGCGCGCGATTGCATGTGATCCGGAGAACGGCTGCGAATACATTTGGCCGGACAACAACAGCGGCCGCACCGTTGGTTGGTTTGATAAACGCGGCTGTCGTGTCGGGGACAATCGATAATACAATTTTAATACACGTATTGGAGTGTACTGTCTTACTGTATTTCATCATTGTTTCTGTGACATCTCATTTTTTGTTTATATGAATACACTGCAGATTTTATGGTCTGTTCTCATTGATGTTGTCCTTTTCCATTTCGTGTGATTCATCATGCTATTCATTCTACATTCATGTACCTGTTGTGCCTTGACAGATTTGACATCAACTCGTACCATGTGGTATTCAGGGCATAGGCGCACCCCGGCAGGTCGCCCGCCAACGCTATTTTTGAAATGTATACGTTTCGCTTCCATGAGAGGTCGGAAGTCACAAGGCACGGCACGCGCAAAGTGTTTTCTCATGACATTTGCGATGAACTACTTGCCAGTTTTTACGTTGTCACATTGACCGTGCGCTTCCTTGTTGTAACGCTACATACGATTGGTTTGACGTCACATATTTACATCTTTTGAAACCTGGAGTGCCTCACGCACTGCATGCTATTTTCTCACATACCAGTTGCTTTTACAACTACCTTCGTATGAAGATAATTTGGACTTGGAGAGCCCTAAGTGTATTTTTTGGCCTGGAGAGCCCCGTATATATATGTATATACATATGTATATATGTATATATATAT